AAACTGATAAAAATATTACTTCATCATCTAATTGATGAAAATGTGACGAAACGAAAACTACATCACAAGTGATGATTATCACGGCCCCACTCAGCTGTTCTAAAATCACTGTAAACCAGAGCAGACGTCAAAGGTGTGCGGTGAGTGCAACTGTGTGCAGCCTGGAGCCTGCAGGTCCGTGAAGCCCCGCCCCCTGGAGCCTCTGGCCTGCAGGTCCGTGAAGCCCCGCCCCCTGAGCCTCTGGCCTGCAGGTCCGTGAAGCCCCGCCCCCGGAGCCTCTGGCCTGCAGGTCCGTGAAGCCCCGCCCCCTGGAGCCTCTGGCCTGCAGGTCCGTGAAGCCCCGCCCCCTGAGCCTCTGGCCTGCAGTCCGTGAAGCCCGCCCCCTGGAGCCTCTGGCCTGCAGGTCCGTGAAGCCCCCGCCCCTGGAGCCTCTGGCCTGCAGGTCCGTAAGCCCGCCCCCTGAGCCTCTGGCCTGCAGGTCGTGAAGCCCCGCCCCCTGGAGCCTCTGGCCTGCAGGTCCGTGAAGCCCCGCCCCTGGAGCTTCTGATAATAAAAATAAAAGCTCGTGTCAGATTTTGTTGACTAAAATGTCTTCTATTTTCGTCATTCATAACAAATGACTAAATGTAAAAGACATTTTCGTTAGGAGACTATGACTAATTAGAAAATGTGTGAAGATTAACACTGGAACTGTGTGAAAGAGAGCGTTATAATGGTAACCATAAAATAAATAAATACAAATTGTATTGCTAACTATCTGACTATTCATAGCTTTCAGGTGAATTCACACACTTGTGGAAACAGGAGAGGCTTCCTACTGCTGCAGGATAGGGGGTAGTTATCAGTCGCAATAGCCAACTGCCAGTTGTTTTTTAAACTAAAGACAATTGTAGTTGAATGTGATGCAGCTCCACATGTGTTCAATGGTGGACGCCACTTTCATACGCTCTTTTGGCCCTCTAAGCCACCATGACTGAAAGCTATGAATTGGTCACAAAGTGCAATTAGCTTCTCCTGTGCTTAAAGCATCTGTTTTTCCCCATACCTGCGGAGCTGTTTGGTCGTGTAAGCATTTCGTTAAAAGTGATTAATCGATACTTAAATTTGTCTTCATGTGGTTTTCCTACTTCTCTGTTAGTCTGGAGGAGTTGGATGACTTCTCTGATTCTGGAAGTGACTATGAGGCCATGATGAAATCTACGAAGAGGAGAAAACCGGCCGTGCCTGGTCCTCAGGTGAATTATTTTATTCTCTCAGAATATTTATCTCTCATTCAGATCATTCAGAGGATAAGTATCAGGGCTCGGTTCTTATAAAACATAGAGAATTCTTAATTGGTTTCATAATAACACTGATTCAACCGTATGCCTCATCTCGCCATGGCTACCACTAATGCAGCTGACAACATCAATTCACTTAAGACCCCCTGCTAAGCTGCCCTCCCATTTTTCTTTCATCTCAAGCCACCCAAGAGACCCAGGCGGAAAGCTGCATCGAGGGTGTCGTCCAGCCCCTCTCCTCTAAACCCCTCCCTACTGCAGCAACAGCACTCCCGGGGGACATCCAGGCGGGCCTCTCCTAGACCTGTGGGGAGAGTGAACGAGGAGAACATCAGTGCAGAGGATATCTATGATGCTGTCTACTCTGGAAAAAGTGCCATGGTGGTGAGCGAACCCAGGCTAAAGAGCAAGGGGGAAGGGGGTACAGAGGACAACATGAAGGGAAGGGAGGTGGTGAAGGAGGCATATGTAATGAGCAAAGAAAAAAGGCTTTAAGAGCTGACAATGAGAGAGATTATCATCTGCTGTCACTGGCTGACTGATGCGACTCTACAGAATTGCCTTTGATACGGGAATAAGGGGAAAGTGTTTTTTTTACCTAGGTTGTGTGGTCAATGATTGACAGCATGTGTCCATCCCAACCTTTGTTATTCTGGGCCCAGTCTCCTCTAGTTAAAGACGAGAAAAGAAGGAACACATAACAAAAGGAAGGAAGACAAAACAGTATGATGAGCCGTAATAAAAGGGTCTGTCACTACAGTGGAGAGCAGCAGCACAACACAGATGGTGGTTCTGGGTGAAGGCCCACTTTCATGGAGCACATTCAGCGAATCCAACAAACTGCTTTTCACAGATTTTATTCTCTGCTGCACAAATGTTCCAACAATTTAAGTTAACCTACAGTCTTACTAACAACATGATAGCTGTTCTAGAGCAGTGTCACTTTATTTGAAGGGATTCATACTTGCTAAACATGATTATGCAAAAACGATGTTGAATAAAACTACAAATAAAAATGGGCAGAAAATGTGAGCAATGAGCAACAGATCCAAATAAGTGAAACATAAAGTGACGGATAATGGAAGAAACGTAAAAACCACGATCAATAATGTTGTTCTAATGCTTTGTTGTTGTCATAACCATCTTCCCTCTGATCTGAGCCGAGCATTCTCATTGGCTGCCCTCTCCTTGTCATGTTAAGACGGTGGTAGACGAGTGGCTGGACAGCTACAAGCAAAGCAGAGAGGAGGGGCTGCTGGTGCTCATCAACTTCATTGTTCGCTCCTGCGGATGCAAAGGTCAGAGATCAACAGAGAGCCAACGAGTTGAGGGGTGGGAGGCAAAGTTCAAGAGATTATCTTTCCAATTTGAGCTTGGGCAGTGATCAGCAGTCAACTATTGATCTGCCAGTGTGGTAACAATCGCCTATCTATCGACAGCACACAGTATCAATATCTGTCAGAATGAAATGAAATCAGATTATGTTATAAAACTGAACTCTGATCAGATGTTTATTTCACTTAAATGTTTATGTTTCCTGCTTCTGTCCAGGCGTGGTTAGCAGAGAGATGTTCGACAGCATGCAGAATGCCGAGATAATCGGCACACTAACCAAAGAGTTCAACGAGGTAAAGTGTGTGTACACAAATCCTCAAAACAAAGAAGATCTAAAAGTTTGAATCTAGTTTGTCGTCATATCTGCTCACTTCTAATAATCCTTCTGGAATATGCAGAAGTCAAACCACATCCATATCCCAGGTGATTATCATCCTCAGGATTGAGTTTAGCGTGATGGTACATTCTAATTAAAATCTAATGAAGATAAATGCACGCATTAATAAGTTAATCACTTTGTTTTTCTAGTGATGTAATTAGCAAAGCTTCTCCCTGTAATGATGATACCGTGCACAGTTTGAGATGCTTCCTCGATTTCTTTTGTTTCCTCCCCTCCTCCAGGATTCAGTGAACTATCCTCTGTGCACTCCAGGACCCCAATTGAAGCGTTTCAAAAACGGCCTGTGTGAGTTTGCTCGTGTTTTGGTGCGTTCCTGTCGGAATAGCCTCATATACAATGAGCATCTCTTCCCCGCCCTGCTGGCTCTGCTCACTGGCCTGTCTGACTCTCAGGTCAGGGCCTTCAGGCACACCAGTACCCTGCTTGGTAAGCACGTTAATACAATACAGATGGATAAAATATAACTTGTCAACAGAGAGTTACTTTCTGCTTGGTGGCTTTCGGTGCAGTTTTATGTTAATATTGTACACATGCTGTTGAGGATTTCTAAATTCTTGTTCACACTTCGACATCTTACTCAGGTTACATGACGTTCTGACTTTGTCATCCTGCATGTTTCCACTAGCCATAAAGCTGATGACTGGGCTGGTGGAAGTGGCTGTGATAGTGTCCGTGCAGCTGCAGACCACCCAGCGGCGATACGACACAGAGAACAGCAAGAGGGCGCATGACAGAGCCTCTGACAGGCTGGAGGAGCTGAAGGCGTCCATCAGTGAGGTGACACATGCACATGCACACAGCAGACCCATCGCTGCTTTTTTTACAAAACACAGGGGTCAGGACAGGAAAACAGAACTTCCACATCAGTTTTAGGGCGCAGTGACACTAGGCAATCTGTACTGCACGGGCCCAAACATGTTTGACCCCCTTAAATCTAGTTTGACTAGTGCGAGTGCTCTGCTCTGTGTTTAAGCATGAGACACTTCCTTGACCCTGGCACAGTTGAAAGATGTGTGCTTCTTCACGATGCGTTGAGCATGAGCATACTGTTATCTCGTTTCACATGTTTCTGTTGAAGATGCGCGAGAATCAAGAGGAGGTTTCCTCCATGATGAACGCCACGTTCCGCGGAGTGTTTGTGCACCGTTATCGAGACCGACTGCCTGAGATCCGGGCGGCTTGTATCGAGGAGTTGGGCGTGTGGCTGAAAACAGATCCTGAAGACTTCCTGAATGATGGATGTCTTAAATACCTGGGATGGACCCTGCATGACAAAGTAAACACACATTTACATTTGTTCTTTTAAGGCTTTCGCAGCCTCTCAGGTTGTCATTAAAACATTTTGAATCTGGCTAGTTTTTTATTTTCCCCTTTAAATTAGTTTTAAACTTAACAAACAGCATCAGAATCATTTTCAACTTGGTCTCTCATGTTCTCTACAAATATTCACTCAATAACACCTTTCAGGCTCACACAAAGAGAAACATCCACTGAGAACAGACTTCACTATCTGTCCGTATAGACACGTGTGTGTGTGTGTGTGTGTGTGCGTGCGCTTTCTTCTACTTACCTTCAGCAAAGTCCAGTGCGTCTGCAGTGTGTGCGAGCCCTGCAGGGTCTGTACCAGGAGAAGGAATTCATTGGCCGCCTGGAGCTTTTCACCAGCAGATTTAAAGTGAGGCATCCCTCTGGATTAGATTCACACCTCGTTTAATACATCTCTTCTCCCTGCTGTCTGTCTGTCTGTCTGTCTGTCTGTCTGTCTGCTTCAGCCTGTCTGTCTGTTTGTCTTCCTGTCTCTTTAATCCATTGTTTCAACTTATTGTGTGTCTGTCTGTCTGTCTGCTTCAGCCTGTCTGTCTGTTTGTCTCTCTCTTTAATCTATTGTTTCATCTTATTGTCTGTCTGTTTGTCTGTCTGTCTGTTTCAGTCTGTCTGTCTGTCTGTCTCTCTCTTTAATCTATTGTTTCATCTTATTGTGTGTCTGTCTGCTTCAGCCTGTCTGTCTGTTTGTCTTCCTGTCTCTTTAATCTATTGTTTCATCTTATTGTGTGTCTGTCTGTCTGTCTGTCTGTCTGTCTGTCTGTCTGTCTCTCTCTTTAATCTATTGTTTCATCTTATTGTGTGTCTGTCTGCTTCAGCCTGTCTGTCTGTCAGCCTGTCTGTCTGTCTGTTTGTCTTCCTGTCTCTTTAATCTATTGTTTCATCTTATTGTCTGTCTGTCTGTCTGTCTGTCTGTCTGTCTGTCTCTTTAATCTATTGTTTCATCTTATTGTCTGTCTGTCTGTCTGTCTGTCTGTCTGTCTCTTTAATCTATTGTTTCATCTTATTGTCTGTCTGTCTGTCTGTCTGTCTCTTTAATCTATTGTTTCATCTTATTGTCTGTCTGTCTGTCTGTCTGTCTGTCTGTCTCTTTAATCTATTGTTTCATCTTATTGTCTGTCTGTCTGTCTGTCTCTTTAATGTATTGTTTCAGTTTATTGTGTGTCTGTGTGTCTGTCTGTCTGCCTGTCTGCCTGTCTGTCTGTCTGTCTGCCTGTCTGTCTGTCTGTCTGTCTGTCTCTTTAATCTATTGTTTCATCTTATTGTCTGCCTGTCTGTGTGTGTCTGTCTGTCTGTCTGTCTGTCTGTCTGTCTGTCTCTTTAATCTACTGTGTCTGTCTGTCTGTCTGTCTGTCTCTTTAATCTATTGTTTCATCTTGTCTGTCTGTCTGTCTGTGTGTCAGCCTGTCTGTCTGTCTGTCTGTCTGTCTTTTTAATGTATTGTTTCAGTTTGTGTGTCTGTGTCTGCCTGCCTGTCTGTCTGTCTCTTTAATCTATTGTTTCATCTTATTGTGTGTCTGTCTGTCTGTCTGTTTCAGTCTGTCTGTCTGTCTGTCTCTTTAATCTATTGTTTCATCTTATTGTGTGTCTGTCTGTCTGTCTGTCTGTTTCAGTCTGTCTGTCTGTCTGTCTGTCTCTTTAATCTATTGTTTCAGCTTATTGTGTGTCTGTCTGCTTCAGCCTGTCTGTCTGTCTGCCTGTCTGTCTCTTTAATCTATTGTTTCAGCTTATTGTGTGTCTGTCTGCTTCAGCCTGTCTGTCTGTCTGCCTGTCTGTCTCTTTAATCTATTGTTTCATCTTATTGTGTGTCTGTCTGCGTGTCTCAGTATTTCTTCCCCCTTCCCTTATTTCTTTGCCTTTTTGTTGTTCTGTCTCTCCCTTTTGTCTCGGCGTGCGTCTGGATGTGTTAATTGTGGCCAATTTTCTGATGGTTAATGAGCCTTTATCTAGCACATTTAAACCCTCCTAATCCACATGTGCTGCAGCAGATAAATGGTTTTCATGGCTTAGCCGTGCTCGGTGCCTTCGTGTGCATGCATGCATATCTCTAGCTGTGGGTACATTGATTCATTTTTGTGTGTCGTTTTGAAGCCTTTCTGTGTGCTGGTATGATTGGGCATTTGTCCTGACTGTGCCACTGCATATTTGAATGTGTGCAGGAGAGGATGCTCAGCATGGTGTTGGACAAGGACTCGGAAGTGGCAGTGGAAGTGATCAATCTGTTGCTGCTGATCCATCAGTGAGGAGTTTCTCTGTATTTATCGGCGACATACAACACAGAGTTTAATTTTATTTCTGTTAAGAAATGCCAAAAACAGCAAATATCATACATATTCATGTTAACAAGTGCCCCCTCTTTTAAAATCAGAGTTTTTAACAGAAATTCAGCTCCATAACCGTCACTGAATCATTACTTTATGTAAAAAAGTAATGCACATAAAGCCAAACGGAGTGTACCTGTAGTGTAAGGTAACTGTAAATAAACTCTGCTCGTCTACAAATGAAAGTCCAGCCTCTGAACAATAAAGGTGCAGTGGTGACTCCTACGTGTGATGACAGTCTTTGTCATGAACGCTGATGATTCACAGGATGAGTCGTGATCTCACACGTTGGCCAATGTATCACACCGCTGACTCACGTCCTGTGTGAATGAGATGTTTTTAGGACTAATGACAAGAAAGAAGACGTGATATTGTCAAAATTCTGATTCAAAGGCCTTTCAGATAGGACGCGGTGGCAGGTGTGTGCTGCTGTCAAGCCCATTCATTGTCTACGTGTTGCTCTGCGCAAGAGTGTATCTGCGCCCAGCCAAATTGCTTTCAGTAGCCCCTCCCCCAGGTGGGTGACACTCCCACAGCTAGGTGTTTGTTCTGCCCTCTGAGTCTGCCTTCTCACCGTAAACAATAGGACATGGAGCGAGAAAGCCCCGAGACACTTATTTGCACTGAAGAAGAGGAGGAGGATATGTGACCTTTAAATTAAATCCCCAAACTAAACTATTACTGGTTTTACATTTGCACCTCTGCAGGACAACAGAAGAAGGTCTGGCAGAAGAAGAGTGTGGCCGCATTTACCCCCTGGTTTATGCCTCAAACAGAGGGCTGGCTTCTGCAGCCGGTGTCTTTCTCTACAACAAGTACGTTTTTATATCCGTCTTTGCTGTCAGACTGAACGTTGAAGAGGCTTTTAAAAGAAGGTGCACGCCGTGTTTGACAAGTTCATATGTTTTTTTTATTTTGGGGCTTTTTATGTTTTTTTTTTATTGAAGGGATAGGAAACACAGAAACTGCCCGTTGTGGACTGGGAGACACCCAAAACAGACAGCTTATGTTCTGTATTTTACAGTATATCTGTTGTATGACTTCAAGACTAAAATATTTACAATCTTTTCAAGCAAATATAAACCGTCTTAAAGGCAGGGTTTGTAATTTTTGTGAACTAGCATGATTTTGAAAGTAGCATTCCCTCAGTGTGCTGTCTGCACCCACCCCCTCCCCTCTGTGCTCCCTCTAAAGCCACGCCCCCCTGTGCTCCCTCTAAAGCCACGCCCCCCTGTGCTCCCTCTAAAGCCACGCCCCTCCTCATTGCCCCCTAAAGCCACACCCCTCTGTGGTCCCTCTAAAGCCACACCCCTCTGTGCTCCCTCTAAAGCCACGCCCCCTCCTCATTGCCCCCTGTGCTCCCTCTAAAGCCACGCCCCTCCCCCTCTGTGCTCCCTCTAAAGCCACGCCCCCTCCTTTACATCGGGCGCCGTCCCTCCAGAAGTGGACCTCAGCTCATCTCATTGTGTAGAAACTACATCGTCTCATGTCTCATTCAGCGGTCAGTAATCTCACAGTATAAACTCCTAAAGTCATCGGTGACGAGCTTTGAGTGTGAGCTAGAGCAGGTAAGAGGTAGAGAGCGAGGGAGACAGGGAGGCGTCTGATTGGTTCATCAGATTGGTACCTCGTGGCAGACATTGGTCAAAGTTTTTACAGACTTACAAACTGATACAGATGATGGATTTTCTTTGTTCCTTTTTCAGAGAACATGAGTTATTAATGTCTGTCAGGACCTAAAAACAATTTACACCAGACTCTGAAGAAGTGGATCGGTAGAAAATAAACATTTTAACCACCACCTTTTATAATTGAGAGTTTTATATCTTTTTATTTCTAATGTATTTGAGAATCGTTTGTTTTTGTGTGTTAGGCTGAAAAGTGTGATCTCTAGTGACAACCAGGAGAGTGAGAAAAGTGACTCAGCAGCCTTCTTTCAAATCCTCATCTCCTTCTACATCCAGAGCGAGGTAATGTCTCCTTTATCCGTCCATGTCCCCACTTCTTACCTATCTTAGGGCTCTCACACCTGCAGAAAACTCCTGAAACACTCCTGAAGTCTCTCGTTCTGAGCGTCATGTGTGAGCACAAACATCTGAATGTTTCTCTCTTCAGCCGGAGTTTCTCCTCCAGCCTCCTCGTATTTATTCTGCAGAAAGTCAGAGTGAGCTGATGTGAGAACACAGCAGGATATAATCAGGAGAATTCACCTGGAGCCAGTGGGAGGGGCCAGTGGGAGGGGGTGGTGACCTTTTATTCCCTGTGATCGCTGCACGACCATAGACTGTCTGCACACCACCTCTACCATCTCGTGCTCTAATCAACCTGCTGCTGCATGTTTCCTGATGTTAGCAACATTAGTGTTTCAGCTGTGAGTCATGCAGTATCTCAAAATGATCTCATTCACTGTCTTTCCAGTTCCATGAGCACGGTGCGTACCTGGTGGACAGTCTGTGGTCTGTGGCAGGATCAGTGCTCAGAGACTGGGAGACCATGACGATGCTGCTGCTCACGGAGTCTGGTGAGGATCTAGACTCTGAGCACACCACAAGATGAAGTCATCTCCCCCACTCAGTTCTGCACCTGTCTGTTCCCCTCTGTGCTTCAGGTCTGATGTACGAGGAGGAGGGGACTCTCATAGAGCTGATGATGTGTGCCATTAGACAGGCAGCACAGGGGACCCCGCCTGTTGGGAGAACACAAGGCAAAAAGGTAAGGATGTTGTGGGACGCTAAACCCACTACTGTAAATTCAGTAAAAGCTGTGCCAGTTAAAATAGAAAGGTTGTCAGAATTACACCGCGTTTATTGAAGGTATCGTAAGTGTTTTTTTTTTTTTTTTTTTTTTTGGGCCCTCGTATGTGTGCATGAACATGGTTAAACTGCTCACCTGTGTCTGAACATACCTGTGCAGATCCTCAGTATGAAGGACAAGAAGGTCCAGGAGCAGGACAGGAGACGAATCACCACACACTTCATCCCCTTACTGCCACAGCTGCTGGCCAAGGTACGACCCCAAGGTTCAATGTACACACTTAATAACGCTAACCCATTAAAGTTAAAGGGTTAAACACAGAAAGTTTAAAGCTGCTGAGAAGGTTTTGACCTCCATCAGAAGCAAGGTAGACCGTGTAGCTTCACTATAGGTCCTAACTCGCTATATCCAGAAGAAAGCTGAGATTATTATCAAGGATACACATGCACATTTTCAATATTCACGAGACATTTTTCAATACTGATCGTGTGTTTTTCTCTCCTCGCTGACCTGCAGTACTCGGCAGATGCATCGAAGGTGACCCTCCTTCTTGGAGCTCCTCTCCACTTCGACCTTGAGATGTACAGCAGCGCTCCCACACTGGAGAAGGTAGGAGTGGTGGAAAGCGTTCAGGACCAACGTAATTAATCAGAAAAATTGTATTTAAAATATCACATCCTGTTCTTTCTGACCTGTACTCCCTCTCCCAGAGTTCCTCCTGTTTTTATCACATCATAGCAAAATAAACCTGAGAGGTCTGTGAGAGAGTGAGCTGCCAGAGGGGGATGTCATTTTTAGGGCTAATGGAAGGAAAAACAATCACGATTATTCTCATGTTGTTTTGTCCCTTCAGGCTCTCCGTAGATAGTGGTCCTCAGTGTCTCCCTGTAGTCTCACTGATGTAAAAGAAGAACACTGCTGCATCTTTGAACATCTCATTTCACTTTAACAAACTCTCAGACAGTAATATCCACCTTATGACATCACACACTGACCTTATGCCATCACACATTGACCTATGACATCACACATTGACCTTATGCCATCACACATTGACCTATGACATCACACATTGACCTTTGTTACCGTTCCTTTGAGCTGTTTGACCTTACTTTGGGATCCCTAACCACTTCCTGTTTCTGTGCTTAACTTCCTGTCCTAACCTTCACTCTACAGGAAGGGCCTTACTTTATTTCAAAATAAAAGCACACAGCAAGTAAAATACTATCAGCTTAAGACAGGACAAACCTTCAAAACAAAAGCCTAAGAAAGACTTTTTTGAAATGCAAAATAATAGAATTTCAAAAATGTGATTAATTCATATTAACTATATACATCTCTAAAAACTTTAGGGTAGGGTTACTTGAGGTTATGTGCTCATCAGGGAGATTTCTTCAGAGATGGGGGAGTCATGACAGAGCTGCTACCTGCGACAATAAATGAAGTCTGAATGTCATAAGTGATCTTGTGGTTTCTATGTGGTCAGTGAGTACTCAGTGTGTGTAAAAACTTGAAAATTGCGCACCCACTTATTTAGCCAGGCGCCATAAATATGAGGAGCCAATCTTTGTCTTATCCTTCTCTTTATGTCTTTGATCATCTCTGAATTCTGAATGCCCCTCCAGAGTGAGGCCCTGTGTCAACCCAGCATTTTTTTGGGGGGGGGGTTGGCTGTGCCCTCTGAGCCCTTAGATGAGAATAAAAGCGCTGTTTGTTAACCCACAATGCTCTTTTTACTGAAAGTTTTTTTTTTTCACCTGAGATCGTTTTTTTTCCTTCACTATGAGCATCAAATGGAGGATGCTCGCCCCCCGACTTTGTCTAGAGAATGAGCTTAATAATAATGACGGCCCTGCTATCACGGCTCCGATAAGAGGAGTATGTGGATCCAGACATGATCCGTAGGAGACAAAGATACTGGGAGTTTCATATTTTGAAGACCGTTGGTGACGTCAACATCACCCTTCTGAAAGGTGAATGATTTTTAACGCTCCCTCCTCCATTGGGATCAAGTGCAAAAAGACCCTGGCACTCAGAAATAAATGCCAGGTGGACACTGGCCGTTACCTGTCAGTAAAAAAATGTTACTATAAGAATGTTACTAACGATCTCTCCTCTCTGTCAGCATCTGGACTCGCTGCTGGGTCAGACATGCAGCATCGTGGAGAAACACACGGAGCTTACCGTGCTGGAGGCGTGTGCACACCTCGCCAGCGCCCTTTGCTCCGACTGCTACACCTTTTCCTCCCGGGCACACCTGGCATTCAGCCAGCTGCTGGATGCCCTGACGGAGTGTTTCAGTTCTTACTTAAATGACCTACTGCAGGTGTGGATAACGAGTCACCTAAGCTTGTACGTTCAAAAGCAGCAGAATTCATGCACGTGCTAATCTATAAAACATTTATATCAAATAGGGAAGAACTTCAGGAGTGTTAAAATCAGTCCATTTCATAACCACTGAAAACCCCTAACAGGAGCTTTTAGTAATCAGTTGGACTCTATGCTGAAGTGTAAAGTCCTGCAGTTCCTTGAGTGTCCACTAGAGGCTGGCTGCTGAAGCACAGGAAGTCACATACACACCCATTCTAAAAAGCCTGTTTTTACAGCAGAGATGAACATGTTTACAGCCTGGTTCAAAAAACCAAATAGGTGTGATTAGCTCATGTCTGGATGGACACACACTGTACGGGGGGTGAATGTTTTGATGACTCATCAGTTTTGATTTGATGAAGGATAAGAGTTATTCACAATAAGGCGTGTAGCTGACCTGATTGACAGGTGGGCGCGGTGTAACGGTTTGTCAGGAGGTTTAAAACCCGCCTCAGCTCCAGCTCTCAGCCTGTCGTTAGGTTGACTGAAAGTTAGACTGAGACAGCATTTCCAGCATGGAGACCGCCATCGATGGGACTCCAGCGCCCCCTGCAGGAACAGACGGGGGACGTTACTCAGGCTTCAAACTTTTATATTTACTGTCTACGGCACAACTACGCCTCGTGCAGATAAAATAAAACGAACACAAGGTTGAGCAAGAAACGGTCAAAAAGATCAAAACAGTTCAGTGATGAAGACTTTACATCACAGAGATTTTACATCACAAACGTCAGAGTGTTGAAGTTGTTCAGAGTCGATCTTTAAGCCTGTGTTTGTTCACTAGGGAACCGCAGATGATGATGACATCTACAGCGCTGCCACTGCCTTAAAAAGGGTTGCAGCCCTCAGCAGGTAAAAGTGCATCCTCATGATACAAATGACAAGTCGTATTGGCGCCATGTCTTACAAAAAGGTGTTTGTGTTGTCCAGTGCCAAGGACGTGACGGGCTGGAAGCTGTTCAACTCGTGTCTCCAGCTTCTGAAGAACAGGATGGAGTCCGGAGAGCTTGACAAGGAGGTCTGCGGGATGTTAAACATAAAAAAAAAAAAAAAAGTCTTTAGAACGACAACGCATCACAATGGATAGAGCTGGGGGAAGGAGGGATAAGACACACCCACTCGCTGCTTCATGATGTAACCATCAGTCCGTGCAACACACAAACACACGCACACACACACGCAAGCCATACCTCATTCCAAGATCGGCAACCAGCTAAGCCGGGCCTGGTGTACTTTAGAATAACCACCTCCTGGAGGTCAGACTACTGTCCTACGCAGAGTGCTGCACATACTACAGACTACGTTCCATAGAAGTATGTAGGAGGCGGTTTCAAAAACAGCCGATATGTAGAATCTAAAAACTTTGTGCTCTTTGTTGAGACTGAACCCAGACTGATCGCCAGCACGACTTAATGAAGGTTTACAGCGGAGAAAGGGGTCTGGGGGTTTAGGTGGTCTGGGGATTTACAGCAGAGAAGGGGGTCTGGGGGTTTAGGTAGTCTTTCATGTAGATGTGTATCTGTTTGGAAAATGCCGTTGAATTTTGTTTAGTCGTCATATTAAATGATTTTCTCTCCAGAAATGGTTTTAAATGTTAACTGTCCTTTTGTGTGTTTCCAGCTCATGGTGTCGGCTCTGAAGTGTGCAGCCTTTCACCTGATGTGGGCTGAAGTAAACGCAGTCAACTCCACGCCATCCGAGGTGATCATTTGATCTCATTGCCGCCTCTGATGCTTTATTAGAGATTCTCTCCATCTGTCATGCTCTAACTACACTCCTGCAAGTGGCTGCACATGCTATGTACACATTAGTGATGGTAATGTGGGACCTTCCTTCCTCACTGTCTGTTTCAGGCAGATTTGAAGCTTCTGAAGAAAGAGGTGCATTCCTTCTGCAGAGTCTGTCAGGCCTGTCTGTCTGTGAACGAGGCGGAGATGAGAGATCAGGTAGGAACTGTATTTCTAGAGACCTCTTTTGAAGGTCTCTGTCTCGTCCTGGGTGGACTTCTGATTTTACATCAAGACCAGTTAAAGCCGCCACTGATCGGCCATTTTTCCACATCACTACTGTAACCAGAAGGAAAACGTCCCTTTCTTAATTAACAAATAACTTCTATCCTTTTCAAACTGAAATCACGAAAGAGATCTCTTTTACACACCCTGTCATTACCGTCAGTGCAGCCGCCACCATTACACACCGCACGCCACCTGAAGTGATTGAAAGTTCATCCCCGTTCATTGTGTTTTGGGAGCTGTGATGGTATACAAAGTGATGCTGACGAGACTTTTTATCATCTTTTCTCCGTCATGAGGTCATAATTGTGCATTTAATGAAACAGTGGTTTATTGTTCAGTAAATAAACCTTGGGAGCGTACTTTTGATTCAAAGAGTTCTAATGGTAACAAGTGACCAGCGGAGTCTGGCAGTACGACCTGCAGGCTTTTAGTACTTCACAACTTTCACTGCAGGCTGAGAGCTCGACTAGCATACTGTAGCTAAAACGAGTGCAACCTCCACAAAGAGAAAACAGATATTACTAAAGCAAGAGCAACACAGAGCTGCACTGAAACTGCACTTTGGGGACTTCAGTTTAAAACTTTTTTCTCTCTGGGCGACCTCTAAATGATTTTATAGGTCGTAGCATCTCATATACTGCATCTTATATTCCGTATTTTACGGTATCTAGCAGAGCTTTTGATGAATCAACTCATCACAGGGACAGCGAAGTGCAGACTGGCATCAATGCACGGGCTGCACCGCTCAACTCTGCAGGGGCACCAACAGAGGGCGCTCATGTTACACAAAGCTTCTGTCCCAGTAGATACTCAGAATACATAATAAACAGTATTTACACAATTAAAATAGTTTGTGCTTTTTCTCCTGCTGGCTGACTCTATTTGCAAAATGTTGCATACGTGCATTCGATTACAGTTTGTGTGTTTCCATCTGCAGGCGTTCGAGCTGCTCTGTGACTTGCTGCTCTTGTACAGCACGAGTTCAGCTCGCTCTGAACCCGCACTCCAAGCTTTGGTCCACCTGCCGTCCGACTCCCTGCGCTCGGAGATGGCTGCTTTCCTCCTGGACTACGTCTTCTCCGACTCAGAGGATTCTGCGCTAAATGGTATTCTGACTTGCTCCAAATGTTTTTTTGTTTTTTTTAATTAAAATCTTTATTCAGAGCAAAATTGAGACATATTTTGCAGCTAGTCAAAGATACAAACGTTTTTCAGAAAGTAAAGAGATTCAATAAAACAGGCATAAGACACAGTTTTCTAAACATTCTATAAAATGAGGTGGTAATAGTGGTGAGACAAATAAACATTTTGTAAAAAAAATTCAAAGCTTGGCAAAGCCATTGTGGGTAAGAGTAATATGCCGGGATGGGTAAGCGATTAGGATTGTTGTCGTATATAAATACATGTACATGACCCTGCTTACATAGATAAACTTAAAAACATATACCTGCACACATACAAACCCACGCACCCAATCAGGCAAACTGATCAGTCAGTGAAAGAAAGTAAATAAGTTTAAAGTAAATGTACTCTCACAAAAACGTATACCAAAGTTTACGGTCATAAATCTTCACATACTGAGAAATGCTCAAAACAAAACAAAAAAACATTTAGAAACTTGTAGAAATGATCAGTGATCAGATGAATTAAAGTAAAGTCTTAGTGAAAAAAAACACACTTTACAAGTCAGAGTTGTCACTTGTGCCACAGAGCAAATTCAAATTAACAACTTGGGACCCTTTTATTATCACCCATAGTGAGATGTATAACAGAAAAGGAAACATGTTGGGGGGGGGTCTAGGCCTAGCTGCTTGCATGTGTTCCTGGATCAGGAAAACTTGTATTGACAACAATAAACTATGTACACTTTAGTAGCTCAAAAAAAAACGAAAACTAGTAAACACTTAGGGGGAAGAGGTGTATTAGGTCCATATTTTGAGATTGGTTGTAGTAGGATTTAATGAGGATGTATAAGTGGTCCAAGGTGTCCAACAACTTTTAAACTTCTGTTGTTCAAGTCGTAAAATAAATGTGAGTTTCTCCATCACAAAATATTATGGATTACATCGATCCAGTTCTCAACCGTGACATCCATTTTCTGGTGAGAGCTTTCTTGCTTGATATCAGTAGAATATTAAACAAGTATTTTTTGGAAAAGCCCTCAATGCTGTCTGGCTGCAGACCTAGATAGAGCGTTGCAAAATTGAACGGGATCTGCACTTTGAGCACCTTTTCCATTACGTTTTTAACTTGAATCCAGTAATTCTGGAGCAACGGGCATTGCCAGAATACATGGTAGTGGTTTGCCTTTTTCTCCCCACAAGACCTCCAACAGGATGTGTTTTTATTAACAAAATTATTTTGTGCAGGCGTTTTAAAGAAACGTATCAAATTTTTCCATCCGAACTCTCTCCAGGACAGGGCAGGTGTACTTTTCCATTGTTGTTTGTGGAGTTTCTCCCATACTTCAGAATTTAATGTAAGATTTCCTTCCTTTTCCCACTTTTTCTTTACGTAACTCGTGTTGTCCCAATCCAGCTCATTCAGACCATTGTACAGCTTAGAGATGTTTCTAAGGCCTGGATCTGAGTCGTAGGCCTTTAAGAAAACCTTAAAAATGGCAGAATTCATATTGACTAAGTCATTCTTTCTTATTAATTTATCAGCATAATGTCTAAGTTGTAGAAACCTGTAAAAGTCTCTGTTTTTTTTTTTCAACATATTTTTATTAAAGCAAGTTCAAAACATACAGTGCAATTGGGATGCAGTCAACATTTTTCTTTTTTCCTCAGAAACATTCAAAAACCCAGTATCCCTTAACCCTGTAAACAACCCTCCCAGACCAACAAATGGACCTCTTAATTTAAAGACAAGAATAAAAATACAAGATAGGAAAACTTCACAGAAAAAAAAAAAAAAATACAATAACCAAACAAATAAAATAATAATGAAAATTGAAGAGACAAACATAACAAAAAAAAAAACATTGTTATGAGCATACCACAAAGGTAAATAGGAAAAACAGTATAACCTATAAAAGAGACAGAATCACTCACCCACACTGCTCAACTTGATCAATAAAAGGGACGACAACAACAGCTGCTCACATCCAGGCTACCACCTAAGCGGCTGAAGAACCCGCGCACAGAAAGAAGTAAGGTCAGAACATAAAATTTGGTATTTAATTACGCGGGGGCTGGACAGGCACGAGAGGACAGGATCAGTATCAGCAGGCGAAGGTGTACTACTACAATACCTCGTCAGGTGAGAGTTTCTCAAAATATTGAAGCAGAGGTCTCCAGTGAGTGTAAAACCTATCAGAGCACCCTCTAAGAGAGAATTTAATTTTCTCCAACTAAAGGAGAAATAAGACATCGTGCAGCCATGCTTTGAAGGAGGGAGGTTGTGAAGATTTCCGTAAGAGAAGGATTTTCCTGCGGGCAATTAAGGAGGCAAAAGCAGTAACATTGTCCTGAGTGGTGGAGGTGGCAAGATCGTCAGGAGACCTACCGAAAATAGCTATATGTGGGGATGGATTGATGTTTATACCTAAAATGTCAGACGACGGTATGTTTAATTTATATCCAGAAATAACGCCAAAAGTGTTCAGGAGCGAAAGGATAGGCAGAATACTTGTCAGGGGGTCACGCACATAAAGGAGGAGTGCGTCAGCATAAAGCGAGACGAGACGTTCAACCCCCCCCTTTTGATCCCCCCAAACCCTCCAATCGACTTTAAAGCAACTGATAACGGCTCAATGGCGAGTGTGAACAACAGGGGAGAGAGCGGACAGCCTTGCCTAGTGCCGCGAAAAAGAGGAAAAAGTCTTAAACACTGTGTGTTTGTACACCAGATGCGTAAGGGGAGGAGTAGAGTAGCTTAATCCAGGAGATGAAGCTGGCACTAAAACCGAACCGTTGCAAGGTGAAAAAGAGAGAAGCCCACTCCACCCAAATGGCCTCTTTGATTTCAGAAAGTGTTAAAGGGCATCTAATGTCTGACCATCATTCGGCGAAACTTTTGGTAAAATTAATTTATCAAAGAAATTACGTAACTGACTTTCATCGTTAGAGACTCGGAGGTATATAGCTTAGAATAAAATGACCTAAATATGTCGTTTATCTCATCTGGGTCAGAGGTTA